ACAATATTTTAAAACTAAACTTAATTATTAAAAAAAATGTCTTTCTTCAAAAAATTCGTTAACAAGAAACAAAAAAATGATGAAAAATTAAACATTGTTTTCGAAGAACAAGTTGTTTTCGAATCTGAAAACAATGAAATATCACGTCAATGGGATAATGAAATGAACTCCCATTGGAATGATACGCCCCAAGAAGATAAAAAATCCTGGAATGATGATCGACCTACCTATATGGTCGATTCAGAAGAATTCGAAGAATTTGAAGAAGGAAATTCTTCAAATTGTCTCAACAACCACACCGTAGAGGAGAATCGATCAACTGATTCTTCTCAAAATACGCTTATTGAAACAAGCGTAAATTACCAAATAGAATTAACTTTGTTAATTCTAATGATTATCCTGGCTCCTTTTTCGTTTATTTTTGTATAGATTCTCGGAGGTCTTCTACTTCTCCGAATAAAAATCTTTATATTAAAATTGCGGTTGGCTAATGGAGATTATACAACAATGATGAACCCTTTTGAAATTTTATTCAGCCAATCGACAATTAACTCTTCTTTTCGAAATGGCGGAAACATAGAAGAAACCATTAACGATCTTGTTAATGGTGATGTTAAAGTTGAAGATTTTCCATATATTCAAGTCTGTATTATCGATGATTTAATCTTCTCTTCAGATAATCGTCGACTTTATATGTTCCAAGAAGCAATTCGAAGGGGATTAAAAGTTGATAAAATTCCTGTTCGAGTTCAACGATCAACAGATTTGAATATTAAATGAAAATTGGAAGGCTCATATAAAATTGTCTGAAATGATAATTTTAAAGATATAATTGTGAGTCAATATGCAAGAAACGGGAGAGTTATAGATAAAGATGGGTTCTGGGATTTCAGTTCTAACTATTATATGTAAATAATTTTGTAAAATAATAACTAATTTAATAATAAAAATAATTTAAAACATGAGAAAATTTCTATTCGATAAAAGTTAAGATTGCCATAATTCTGGCAAAATTAAAAACAATTGATTTCTAATATTTACTTAATAATAGATTATTGAATAACCCATTATTTATTGACGTTTCTTCGGAGTCACCGATTTGAGACAAATTGTATCAAATTTGTCAGCTTCAAATAAAAAGAAGCTAATTGTTCAAAGTTGTTTGTGTGATGTTTCTCATCACGAATGTTCTTTCTCGTTCAATT